ACCGTATGACATTGTAGCACTATCCTTCCCTCGGTGGTTACCCCCCTCTGTGGTTACCCCCCTCCCCCGGATGACCTCACGTGACCCATTTTTAACGCCAGTGCACGATATTCAGCGGTCCCTGCGTCTACCACAGGCTATCACGTGGCCCTGCAGCGGTGACCGACGCTGTGTTTTCTTGCGGTCACGTGGTCGACCAACCCTCATTCGGCGCTGAGGTTGGCCGGTGAATCGTGACGCGTTGACCGCAGGTGAACAGAGCAGGCCATAAGAAGAGGTGAACAGGCCAGCTATCAGAACAGGCGAAAGAAGAGCAGAACACAAGATACACGTGACCCGAAAATGTGAGGAAACAGGCTAAAAAACTAATGATTGAAGTAGGTGAACTGAAGAGACACACTAAAAACAATCAAGAGTCATAAGAATGACCGAGATCTGGTGGCTGACGGATCAGTTAGCCAACCAACGCATCTGGCTGAACAGAGAACGTAGTGAGGTCATCGGGTCTCATGTCCGTGCCGCTCCCCGCGCGACTTCTGAGCACAGCAAGGCTTCAATGTTTCAGCTCCGACAGAGAAGCTTTCAAACTACCTCAATAAGCCACTGTGAATGATATAACATCAATAGAACACCTAAGTACTTCGCGCCTAGTATCTGCAACTGCCCACCATAGGAACTTTTCCAGCAGGTCCGTGAATCATTGAGCGCGTCTTCAGACTGGTCTTAGCCGCCAGATGAGCGGAGCCCAGTCGTGTCGGTCCCAGAGCGTTCAGAGGGTAGGAGCGACTGTCCCTGTGGACCCGACGGAAGGGACGCCACAGCCGGTCCTCCACAGTCACAGCAGGGGCGCGGTGCTCGAGACAAAGGGCGCCGGCGGGGCGCCGGGCGTCCGCGAGGAGGTTCCAGGGGCGCTCTCGATCGGAGAGAAGACATGGCTCAAAGAGTCTCAGGCACACTAGTGTGCCCGAGTGCCTGAGCGAGCAGCGAAGAGGCATAGGGTTTGAGCTATACTGAACGAGTCTCAATGAGCTTAGGGCTCAGTTCTTGGTCATTAGGGGAAGTTTAAAACCAGCGGCACTTGCGACCAAACATAAAATACGGACCACAGCTGAGGGAGGTCACCGCTCAGCCAGCCTTTATCTTAATAGTCGCAGCTAGGCCCTTATGAGACCCGAAAGTCAGCTCCTTTGTATAGTAGGTCAGCAGGAGACTTCGTCACTGCATCGCTCGCATCGCTCGGCAGAAGAGGTTCGGAAGCGGTCACTCCGGCGACAGTCGCGGCGGAAACAACAAAGAGCGACAGCAGCTGAGTGCGCAGCTCGTCAGACGCGGCGCGTGCACAATGCACGGGCATCTTTATCACCGGCCGATCCCCGGATCCGTGCGCCGGCGCGGCACGTGCATTGTTGCAGACCTGGTCAGACCGCGAGGCATCCACGGACCGGAGCGTCCATACCAGGCAATGCGTGACTTTTCACGAGGCCCAGTTTCACCTTTCAGAGAAATCTCGCGCGTAAGGCAAAAGCGTAGCCAGTAACGTTCCCAGGGGTTGCAGAGTCTATGAATAGCACAGCAGTGTCGAAACTACAACCCGAAGGAAGTCCCGTCATCATGAATTAGAAACTTAGTCATCTATGTCATCAGCTGGAGGCTCGGCGCGATGAGCGATGGCATTGCCAGACACCGGCCGTCGCCGCCGGGGCCGGGCTCTAACCGTCGACCACCGTCTGCAGCCGGTAGCCTGTCACGGGGTCATTTCACAGCGAGCTGGCTGTAAAGGTCGACCCGCCACTTTGGTGACGTCACTGATGCGTGCAGACAAGCGCCGGTGGCGTCGTGACTGCGCCGTTTGTCGTCGCAGACGGGGCCGCGCGGCGTGCAGCGGCGCGCGTGCGGCACGAAACCTCCGAGCCCGCTTTCAGCCACCGCAATTGCCATTCCCTCCAACACAGGCCCCTTCGATCCGGGGAGCATTTGTGGACAAAACAGGCAAAATATCAGGGCAAATTGTCTGCCCAAGAAACCGGACAAAACATGTGGCAGGTATAGAAAAGGCAAATATGAAATACAGCAGAAAAAAACATGAATATCTGTAGTCACTTAAGTGCTTTAAGCCTGAGTTTAGACCCAAAGTGGATGAATTTACTGTTCAGCAACACCATTACACCCTCCTAATGCTCGGCTAAGTACTTTATTGGTCCGTGCTCCCCTGGGTGTGGCCTCCCATCCCAGACGCGCCGTGTCAGTGACGCCGCTGGTCTGAAGAGCCGCCCGCCCGGGCGACCATCTTCACGCTCCAAGCCAGAGCGACGCTCCGACTGGCACCGGCGGCCGGGCGGAACCGGAGGGCGACGAACCCACCGGAAAGGCGCCAAGAATGCCGCCGCGCGCCGACCTTCAGCGCGCGCGTCAGCCGGCCGAGGGCCGCCGAGCGGTGGCCAATCTGGCGCATCGATCACAAATGGGTCGCTCCAGTGGCGGCAGATGAAGGGACGCTGGTGGCCCCAGTCTCGCCGGGTGTCAGGGAAGGTAGAAGGGCCCGCGCCGGGTCAAGGTCACAGGGGTCGCACGGTCGCAGTCAGAGGTGAGACCTTGGCGAGGAGTCTGCGAAGACGCATCGCACCATTTAAGGACATGAAGCGAGAGCTCGACCTGGCTTTGATCGTCGATAATGATTGGTTTCTGGATCGAGCCATGAGAAACTCATCGAGTAATTGATGTGTGGAGACAGTGGAGTCAGAGGTATAGTATGTCGGAGGAGTCGATTCATTGTAAATTCGGCCCAATATTAACGTGAATACTTTACAGAGCGAAAACCCCGTATAACAGCATATCCTGGTCTTAGGAAAGAAGGTTTCCTGAAGTGTTCGAGCCAACAGTGTCGAAAACCTATCTTAACTACACTGAATTTCAAAATGACAACCTGAATGCATCACCACACTCACGACGTCCATGGTTCCAGCTAACTACAGTCTGCAGCATCGACTGTGATGTGACTGAATCACAGACACAGTTTTCACGGAAGGATGAAAGCGGCACTAGTGATGACGCACTTTCCTACTCTTATTGCAGCAACTACCGTGAACTTGGTACGCTGTGTGGTAAGCTCCTGGGAGGAGTAGTCTTGGCTTGACCCCGCCCCTCCCTCCCCTCTCTTCAGACCATGTGTGACAAATGCCAACTCTATCTTCCCTCCTTGAAATGCGGAGCTTATCCTCCGACCTTGTTCAGTTTTCGCTAACAAAGGATGCAGACTTTAACCCGCGCCCGGCTGGGGGTCCTGGATTTCCACGCCCTGCTGGGGGGGGGGGTGTTTGAACACCCCCCCCCCCTTCTAACTCGGCTCCTGGGCCACGTAGCGATACGCGGAAGGCGGCGTTCGAAAGAGCGTCAAAAATAATGAGGAAATTACTTCGGTCAATTTTTTGGTCAGGTCAAAGGTCAGGTCACCAGAGGTCATTGAAGGCAAAATTTCGCCGATTTCCGGGTCGAATGTCGAAAACTTCCAAGAAGCCAACGCATAACTCGGGAACCAATAGAGCTACAGCGCCACGGAAAAGCGCATTCGATAGCCCTATTAACGCCCTTTCTGAGCAATTCTCTCAGATTTGAGCTAACGTCAATGGTTTTGCCTCCAGGGGGCAAAAACTGCAAAAATAGCCGATTTTTTCGGAAACAGTTTTTCTGCAATAACTTTTGACCCAAGCCTTGTACGAGCTTACTTTTACCGGCATCGTGTTCCTCTCGTCAAGACGCATCGAATGAACTATAACTTGACCTTGAAAGGTCAACTTGAAAATTTGACCTCAGGTCAAGGTCATGACCTGACCGGAAAGGGTCATGTTGCATATCAGTCGATCCGTATCGTCGAGCTGAACACATCTAAGGCGTTTTCATCGCTCTAGCATGCCTCTATCAAAAGTTATTTGCGAAAAACTGCTAGATACCATTCGTGACCTAAGATGACCTCAGGGCATAAACAGGGGTCACGGACACCATTTTCATGTTCAGTGTGTCTAAACCACTTGTAATTCAGTGTTTGGGAGTGTTTATAATGTCTTTCGTCCAAAAGAGGCGCATTTCAATTTTCTTCCATTGACTTCCATGGGGTCTTCCATGGGGAGGTCGCAAAATTGACCTGACCTTAGGTCATCGATATCAAAATTCTGAGATATACATTTTGTACATGCTATTGCTCTTAACAATCGCTGAAAGTTTCAAAGCGATCGGTCACTCGGTGTAGCTATGACAGACATTGAAACTTTTTATGAGGTGAGGTCACTTCAAGTGACCTGGTGACCTGACCTTGAATGACCTTGGTCTGAAATTTTCACAACATGTGTAGAATTGATGTATGATAAGGTGTACCAAAAACGGCGGCGGAGCGCCGCCGTTTTTGAGATATTCGCGAAAAACCACAAGGAGGGGTGTTCAAACACCCCCCCCCCCCCCCCCAGCAGGGCGCGGGTTAATTAGGTACTGCGCTGATACGCGAGTCAGATTGGAATGCAGGAAAAGGCGGACGAAGTAGTGTCCATTTGGCGGATGTGGTTTACGAAGGACTTATGTCGTTCAGTGCAAGCTTGGAGGCGTAGATCAACGAGGGATGGATCCCACAAATTGATTTGTGGGCGTCCCAGAACAATGGCTACCTAAGTACAGTGAGATTACCTATTCTGCTTTTGTTTGATGACTGATTTAAAAAGGGTGTTAAAAACACCCAATTGAAACCATAACAGTTTCAAGATGATCTAATTAGAAAAAAAAATCATTAGAAGAATGGTGATGTCTGGCCATATGCAACCCACAAGCTAGAGTGTCGCAAGAAATGACACAATCCAACCAATATAATCAGCGACTTCTATTCACGTGGCGCAGTCCCAGTAGACCACAGAGCCATTGTCATGCATGGGCCCACCGCCGGGACGGTGCGATTACCGTTGTAGCAATGTAGCCTCGCGCCCGGGTCGTCCCAGGAGGGCGGCCAGGAGGGTACTCACATCTGCAGCATGACGTCCTGCAGGAAGAGGCCGTCCACCAGCGCGCCGTACGTCACCTCCGGGTACCCCTCGTCCTGGAACGTCCGGATCTGGAAGGCAGCGACAGATACAGCGGTTATGGACGTCGATATCAGCAGGCTTTTCAGTGCCACGAGTGAGCGGTTGGCGCTTATATCAGAGGGCCGACGACGCTGGTGTCAGAGAGCTATAAACTATATCGGGGGACGGTGATAGTGACGTTATGACGTCATAGGTCATGGAAGGCACATAACCAGCTGGAAAATGTCAAGTTGGGTAGCGAGATAGCGAGTTGGAAAGAGCTCGTGTTACGATGGCGCTATGCATAAAAAAAAAACATTTGAAAATCAAACCGGGAATCGTGAAACGCCGAGGAGCGCATTTGATGGCACCGAAATGGCGATTCATTAAAAATGTCGAAATGTCGATTAAAAATGTGGACATTTCCTTGAAATGTCCACATTTCAAGGAAATGACCTCTTGTCAAACCCTAAAAAAAGGGGAATAATGCATGGCTCAATGGTAATCTTGCTACTTTTTAGAAATGAAGTTCCAATGCTTGTCGGTTAAAAGCAAGAATAATTCCTAGCTTTCAATCAAAATGCGCCCTAATCCCAAACCAGTATAGCGCCTTTTGGGGCGACTAACGGAGCGAGCGAGAGGGTGAGCCTTGCACGTGCGAAATTTCGAGGGGGTACCTCCAACTGACTTGTGCACGGCACCCTACTGACCGGTTTCTAGCGATGTGCCAAATTTGAGCACAATCGGCCCAGCCGTTCTCGAGATCTGGGAGCGGCACCCTGCACGTGCGCACGTGCAAAATGGGTCCCGACTGACTTTTGCACGGCACCCTACTAACCGGTCCCTAACTGTGTACCAAATTTGAGCGCAATCGGTCCAGCCGTTCTCGAGATCTGGAAACGACCCCTGCACGTGCGCACGTGCAGCAGCACCCCAACTCTGGCACATGGATATGCAGTGCCTAGTGGGTGCCTACCTACATGCCAACTTTCAGCGCAATCGGCCAAGTAGTTACCGAAATATTGCAACAATTGCAAAACTGACACCTCTTCGTTTTGCACGTGGCACGTGCATAAGGGGTCACCCACATGCATCGGGAATAGTCCAATACTTGGTAGAAGGAATGAAGCTACCCTATAAAAATTACCGCGTGTAAATCGGTCAAGTGGTTGCTGAGATATAAGCCTCGCAAAAGCGTCCGCACGGCCGGCCGGCCGGCCGGCCGGCCGCTCATACTCAGAAATTTCCGTTATTCTACGTAAGACTCCGCTCGCTTCGCTCGCTCCGTAACGATGCCGATTGTTCAAGCGCCTCCAGAGTTTTCAGACTTTTGTCGCTCAAATTCCTTCAGAGAAAAGACACCGCGCTGACGCCAGCGTACCGCTGGAACCCGATTCATTTTTGCTGGGCAATTAGCCTCCGGTGTACCGGTGTTCCACAAACGTCCTCACCCGGATCAAACGACAAACACGAAGACGAAAGTGGCAAGTCCGGTCGCCCGTCACTGAATCGAGCAGCGACCAGTCTTGTTCGATGGGTTGCAGGTCTCATGCGGCTGGCGGCCCGACAGACCACTCTCACAAAACCTTGACCGCTCCTCCCGCGTGGTTGGATTACAAGTTCTCCCGGCTCGTGGCTGCACCCGCCGACGCCTGCCATCAGCCAGCGTGGAGCTAGTTAGGCACACGTCACTCGAATCGGGGAATTCATGCCAATGAAGTCAGCTTGCATACTCCGTCGATTGAGAGAGCAGACGTGAAATGCCTGTCTGTCTTCCACCATCTGCCTGATTGAGTCCGCTCTGACGGCAAGATCCGTCTTCGGACGCTCTAAGCCCTTTTCCTGTCATTGAGGAACATGAGACGCAACATCCATTGGATGCAAACATGACATGTCCGGGAACATGGACACTGATTCCGCGAGTCCTCGAGGCCGTGGCCGGACAGGCTCGCCGCCCCACGGGTACCGAGTTAGAGGTCTCCCGGGTCTCTCCGTCAGCCAGAGAAGACACGCGACTCGCCTGGGACAAACGCTGGCTGTCACCGATTTAAATTCCTCCACTGCAGGTTCGGTCCTAATCAATGATTTGTGTTCATTTCTCGTCTACGCATTTCCATCCATCGATATTTCTGAGATCAATACCTACCATATCCTGTGGCATTCTTACGTTATCATAGAGATTATGTCTTTATGCTAGTGCCTACCATAGATTCCCAGTCTCCACTATTGACCTGTTTAACAATGCAACGCAGCCGCTGAATGCATTGTTAATGTACAAATCGGCCAGCCGCGCCATAAAATGTTAACCAGGTGGCCGGCACGTAAATAGAGCAGTTTCGACCGGGTCTCATTAGACCGTCGATTCGACCGGTACTGCGTGACTGGCAAACACATACGGTCGTTACGGGTCGATTAGATTAATTGAAAATTGTCGACAAACTGACCGGAACAGGGACCAGTCCGTTCAGGCAGGCTGTCGTGTAGCGTTACGGTAGGTATGTTCGTCACTTCGTGTAGAAGCGCAAATAAAAAACTTTCTATGGTAAACACAAAGCTTATAAAAGCACATGATAATTAAGTAAAATGATATCCAGTTGACGACAGTTAAAAATTGCTGCAAAGGTAGGTATAACTTAATTGTCATAACGGTAGGCAAAGCATGTTGTCGGCTATCGGCTATCGCTAAAAATGGCAAATTTAACTTAAATCCGTGACATTTGCTACGGCTTTAGTAACAACACGGCATGGAAACTACCGTATGTCAGCGGCTCGGAATGTTGTTGCAGTTAACTAAAAAGCTCTGCAAGAGTAGGTACCTACGCACCTGCAGGACAATGCCTGACCCATCATTTCATATCTAGTCGTTAACTCAGTTATCAGGAAAAAGGTACAACCTAACAGCGCATAACTATGGTAATTGCTCACGAGGCATTGTACCTACCGTTAACACACAAAACACTAATGCTAGGTATAGGTACGGAGTCGCTAATGCAGGTACTTTTTCGGCGAACTGGTTCTTTGAAATTTATCTTCCCCTTTCATTGATGGATGCATTTTGCACGCACAACTCTGCTCGTAACGCAAATGACGCACATACCCAGGGACACTATGTTCGAAGAAGTATCATCCCCGTCGAGAGGTTTTATTTTTCACACCGTGCCAATGACAAGATATAAAAACAAGCAATATCTCTCAGAGTTAAATGTAAAGTAGGTGGGTACTCACTTAGCTAAACGTAGGTATTCCCTGCAAAAGGCATATCCAGCGCCCCAGTAGGTATACCTACCTAAGCATGCAGTTGAGCCAACCCTGCCGAAGGTAATCAAAGAAATAGGTATTGTAGGTATTTCTTTAACCCGCGCCCCACTGGGGGGGGGGGCTATTCATAGCCCCCCTCCCGTTTTTCTGCAATAACTTCCAAACCGCTTGACGTATCGACGCTAAACTTTCAGTATCTTCGGCTGCATCAATTTGACACCTGGTGTCAAAATATGAACTTCGTAGCTGCCATAGGTCGGCTGGAAATGGCATCAGAGTGACGTCATGTTCGGCCGATTTCGACGCAAAACATTGAACCACGGCAATCGCTCCCAAGAGCTCAGCTTTTAAAGGTAGTGTGCCACCTTTGAAAGATTTCCCATTTTATTTTTCCTAGGATAAGAAGCTTCTGTTTTTACCTAATATCGCAAAAAAAAAATCAAAAATGGGCCTGGAATAGTGCCTTTTTCGCCTAAAAGTTTTTCGGTTTTTAGATATGCATAACAACTGTAGTGGGCTCACCTGCAAACAGGCGTCGGGCAACAATCGCGAATGCGGCGCACTTGTGACAATAAGCAAAGGTCATTATAGTGTTACGACCATACGACGTACGGGAATGAGTTATCAGCTGTCTAATCGTAGACAACACAATGTCGAGCCTTAAACTGTAAGCCCGTATTGGTATTGTTTCTTTTATTTGGCTGTCGAACATTATTTATGGTTTGAAATATGATTTTATGTAAAATAATTGATATGAAAAAGCCGTCTTATAAGTTATGACCCCATTTCACCACACGCAAGTGGCAGAAATGACAATGATCAGCTGACGCATTTTTCTTGGCCGAAGTCAGAGCGCGCGGCCCGACGCACCACGCGTATTTGGAAATTCCGACCTCGACGAGCATCAGAAGCCACCTAACAGGCGTGTTCGAAACCGCAGGAGATGATGATGAACGGGTTTATCGAAACTTGATTGGATGAGCATATCGGTAATAGCGATTTCAGTGTGTGCATTTATTGTTCATAGTGGTGTGAAATGTGGTTGGGGTACGACCGACAACCCGTCGGGGCGAATTTCGCACTGGGGTACTCAAAATTTGAAGAATTTAAGACGTTTCCATGAGTTTTGAAGGTATGGATAAGTTCTAAAAATCCGGTTCTCCTTATCTGGGCCATTAACTCCATACGGTCCAAGAAAGCTGGCACACTACCTTTAAGCTAGATCCAATTTCTTTGCATGAGAGGACTCAGAATAGACTGCGCTATCAAAATGCCATCTCGGATTTTCAAAATTTTGAGAAAATTTTGAAAATTAAATATAATAAAATAACAAAATTTATATTTTTATATTTTTCCAAAAACTTCTTGACAGTTGACTTTTCGAAAAAAAAAACGGAATATATGTGATAGAACACATGCCTATGACTATGACTAACTCTAGCAAGTTTTAGCTGAATATCTTCAAAAATGGCCGAGTTATACGCATTATTGCCAAAAAATCACAAAAATAAATTTTTCAAAGCAATTTTTAAGTACGTATTTGACATCGTACACCAATATAAATACCACCATCGTGCTCCTGAGCTAAAACTGCTTCCAATAGACACCTTTTTTGTTGAAAAATTTTAACTTTAAAATTTGACCTTTTTTTGACCCGAAAGTGACCTGACCTAAGCTAACTTCAACTCAAAATGACCTCGAATGGCACAACCGACATCAAATTCGAAATATATGGCCTAAATGGACCATAAAACATTGTCACGTGACCGACGCATGACACAATATTTCCGTGACCTTTGATGACCTGAACCTGACCTGAAAATCAAAGTACAAGTTTAATACCCTCAGGGTATCTAAAGCATCTGTTCACGAGTGTGTAAACCAAAAATGAGCCTGATCTGTCTCGTAAGACGGCGGCCAGAGCCCAAAATGTGAACAAGTCAAAATGCTAATAATTTTTACTTTAACCTGACCTGTTACGTCATCGGTGACATCGAGGTCAATGAAATTAGGTTTCGTTCAACAGTTTTTCCGGGGCTATCAGACGCCGTTTGAATTTTGACGGTCGGCCCAGTAGTTTCGAGGAGGGGGGCTATGAAGAGACTCCTCCCCCTCCCCCAGTGGGGCGCGTTATACGCAGACCCCAGTGGGGCGCGGGTTTAAAAGAATGCTTTGAACATTTCGTATCTCTCTCCTCGGGACGAATGGATTTATGAAAGTACGTACCTCAACACTCGAACTTCCGATACCTATCAGTGACCCAGGTCAGGTCAAATTGCGGTCATGCCATTGAAAAGCAAGGAGAGAAAATAAACCGTTGATTTCGTGCGAAAGTCAGTAAAAAAAAAAAAACAATCTCAAAGAGCATGACAGGGCATATTTTAAGGCACTTACTGCGTCCCATTCCGGGACGCAGCCCCCTCGCCTTGGGACGTAGCCCCTGCTGATTTGACCCACTGCGTCCCTGCCCTGTGCCCTGTCCGGTTCCCTGACCTGTGCCCTGCTGTGTGCCCTGACCTGTACCCTTCCCTCTAAAATGTCCTGTGCCATGCCCTGTAACCTGCCGTGCCCTACTTTCTGCCCTCCTCAGTGCCCTACTCTGTTCCTTGCCCTGTGCCCTTAGTCGTAGCACGTGCCCTCTGCTCAACTTTGGGACGCAGTAAAAATTTGTTAAAATATGCCCTGGAGCATGAAGCATAATACATAGGCCTCCACTGGCATCCATTTAATTCAACTGAGGCTACAGGTCACGAAAAGGTCATATTAAGCTTTCTTTTCGAACATGTTTTCTCGTCATCGTATAGAGGCCAAAATACCATCTCAAACAGCATGAAGCATAATGCATAATACACAAGCCTCCACTGGATTGATTCCATTGAATTGAACTGCCTTTCAGGCTAGGCAATGTCACGAAAATGTCATCTTAAGCTTTCTTTTCGAACATTTTTTCTCGTCATCGTAAGGAGGCCGGTAAACAATAAAAATACATGAGAAGTGTACCTACGTACAACACAGACCGACCGATATGTAGCACTATAGCATTTCCGCGGCCTCGGTTTAGGTTAGGTCATGAGTCCATGACCTTGCTAAGGTCAAGTTTTCATTACAGGCCATCATTAGTAGCGGATCGACGAAAGAAACACGATGGTGGTGATAATGTCATACAAACCCGATGGCCGATATCTAATGATAACCAGGTATAAATAAAAATGGCACTGCCCCTTTTGTTTTAAGAAGTACAAACCAATACTTGAAGGTCAAGCATGGATGCACGTCTAAGTAGGATCCTCTTAATCCTACCTTCTCGTCTTGTCGTAACTCATTAATTTGTCATCATCGTAAATCCTCTCCCGTAAAAATTGTGAGTCTCAAACTGCTTGTGAGAGATCTTCGCAAAGTATTTACATCAAAGCTCCAGTCTCCACGCACCACATCCCGATCCCGACCTGGACCGTGGCATGATGATGACGCGTGGACGTGGCATGCAAGAGCGGATTGAATATTTTATATGACCTCGGTCGCAAACTCACCCATAACGCCAGGGGTCCCTCCATGAACTCCTCTGCTGCGTTTTTGGTCGCCATGGCTCCTCGCTCGACCGCTCCGTTCGCAGTCGCCGCACGCGTGTTCCGTCACCACAGTTCACCACTCGGAGGGAATCGCGGCGCCGCCTCCGGTGCCACGCATGGCCCTCCCCACTGGGCTTGAGGCTGCTAACAACCCTGCTGATGACGTCCCACCTTAACCGGCGCAGACACAATAGGCTAACGGGGAGCACACGCGATAGCGACACCCACCCCACCGCACTCCACTCGCGTCTGCGGCCCGCGGTCGAGCGCCGGCCGGCAACCGCCCCAGGCGGCGGATAGATGGCGACACCGGCGGGGCAAATCGATGCAGCGTGCAGCTGTTGAACTACTGTTTCCTGTTGCTACCTCTAGGTGGTGCCAGGCCACTGAAGGATGGTGCCGGTGACGTGCATAATACTGCTAAGATCATCACTCTGCATTCGGGCCGCAAGAGAACCACCTCTCGCAAATACGGAGCGGAGGCCCAAGCATCACAGACAATACCTATACGGAAACACAATTTCATACTAATTACTAGCGTTTGAATATACGTGATGTAATGAGCACTAAAATGTGCACCGTTCCGTGCCTCTATCCTCACTCCTCAGGATACTGAAATCCTTCTCCTCCACGCCGCAACCTCCCTCCGGGCTCGACAGGCAACTTTATCTCATGCGGGCTGCTCCCTTGGAGCGGCACCGCTGGCGCTGCTCCCGAGGGAGCGCACCCCGTAGCCGGGTGAAGTGAGTGCCTTGGGGCTGGGTGGCCTGTCCTCTGGACGGGCTCAGCCCCGGCGACTCACTAGGGTGCCTGCCCAGACCAATGTCTCCTCCTATATCCTATCATCCTCCCGGCTCTGAAATGGTTTAATTGGACCGAAAGGGCCTAACCCAACAAAACAAATAAACAAACACTAAAATGTCATTTTCTGTTCCGATAGGGTCAAGAGGAAAACGGATCCAGCGATGTCATCGATGTCAGATTATTTTGCGTAGCATAAGGATGCTATTTAAGTATTGATAAATGTATAACTCGAGGACACTGCAACCACGGAATATACAAAACTATTGCAATAAATACCAATATCATGAATTACTCTAATTTCCATTACTTGTAGACATTTTCCTCTATCTGGCAGCAAACTTCAGCGAGCGTTCATGGCGCAGGTTTGACATTTGAGTCTCGAAACACTGTTCAAAAATAAAATAAAATCAGCAAGTATCATAGCAACTCATTAGCAAACAAGTATTTATGCAGTAGTTGCCTAGCAACAGCTGATTACACTCCGCATGATTGCTTCGAATTATCTTTAGTGAACACTTCTTAACAATATTTTGTTGTCTTTTTCTGTTATTATGTTACGCAATATCACACAGCTATTCAGCTTATATATCCTAAGCCTAACCCATACCAACAACAACAACTTCAGCTTATACACCAATTATAGGGCTCAAGCCGTCGATTTAGATTAAATCGACTCCAAGGAGAAACTCAGCTTCAATATAAGTAAGCACTTTTCCAACAAAAGCAAGGGAGGGTCGCCAGTCACCACCCTCTTACGTACGGTGACACCTCACTGTCGCGCTTGTGTTGTTCTGAAAGTCAAGGTGATTTTGGCAAATTTGGGGCACCAATTTGGAATGTTTCATCAATGCTGATGCCTTTTTATGAATTCCAACATGAATTCCAATGATTTTCATAGATATTTCCATGGTACCTCTTTGTTTGAAGTTGCATTGAAAAGTGCTTAGATTATAGGAAGGATTATGGGAAATTGCAAGCGAACAAAACCCAGGAAGTTTGGTATTGTATACGAGTTAATGTAACAAATGCAGTCTTATTCAGTTTTCCTTTTGAAACTGTCTCTGGCCTTGTGTTGTCAATAATATGTCAAGATCTGATTAATTAGATATTTTCTCTTTTCTTCCAGGACCGTAACAGCAGGACTTCCTCATATTAAAAATGGCTTCCAGGCTGCTGTTTGCATGTTATAGGATGGGTGGAAGGGCTATGGTAAGTTTATATAGACCTGCGGTTTCTTGACAGCGCTTTGTACTTGGGTAGGTAGTGTTTCTTAATTCTTGGTTTGGTACCTTTGTCTGCGGCTTAAATTTAAACTTTGGTGTGATTATAGGTAGCATTATCAAGTGTGGTTGATGCCTATTAAAATCTAGCCAATGTAATGCACTATTTGTTGTTCTTTTTCCTACAATTTTAGCAATGTTGTTTCATTTGAGTTGTGACATTTTTACCCAATTGTGAGTGGGGGCATCATAATTTTTGTGGATTCTATTTACTGATTTTGTTGGCTTTGTTTTGTTTGGCATGGGCTGCTTCATATTTTCAGCCTGGCTGGCAAAGACTGGTGCAGACCCCTCTGGCTGGTGTGGCTTGTTCCCAGGGGGAGGCACTCGCCTTGGCCGTATATGGGCCAGAATGTCTAACAATTTCCGCCATGTTGTGTATACCAAAGTCTTGAAAAGTTGATCACTGCAATCAAACTGCAAGCATGAAGCAGCAGCACTTTTGAGTAGTGTACCTCTCACTTAACTGCACCTCTGCTACCGTACATGCAATTTACATTTCTGGTATACACAACATGGCGGAAATCGATAGACAAAAACAAGTCACCAATGCTCCTTCCAGTATATATTAGAGTTCAGTGCTTGTTCCTCATGCTGCAATCTTTTTCCTCCCCCCCCCCACACACACACATACGGCATGTTAAGGCTCATGCCACGCCGCCCACTCAGGTGCCTGCTGTTCCCCATCTCCACAGACGGCGGGTCCGGCGCGGCCGACGCTGGCCGTCGCCGCCGCTCGCCAGTTTCACGGCTCAGCGCAGAGGCTGGCTCTGCTCCAGATCAGCGACCGAGAGGACTTCCACGAGCGCGTCATCCTCAGCCCCATCCCCGTCATCGTAAACTTCCACGCCGACTGGTGCGAGCCCTGCAAAGACCTGACGCCAATGCTGGAGCGCCTTGTGAAGCCCAAAAGAAACCTCAACCTCTGCTCGGTGAGTGAAAATCATCTCTTTATTTCCTTTTCATCTTTCACCATTGTTTATTTCTTACTGTAGGATGTATGTGCAGTTTTTCGTCTAGCAATCTTATTTCATCGTTAAGAATGTTGACCGATTGAATTTGATTCACATACATTTGGAAATTGGAATACATCGGAATCGACACTGTCCGCCTTTTATCTCCGAGGGGTGTTCACGGGCACCGCACACTGCTGCGTGCGGTGTGTGCGGTGCGTCCAGCAGGCGTGGGGGTAGGGGATGGGTAGGCGGCTCTGACGTCACGGCTGCGTGCGGTGGACGGTCCGCTGTGGCCAGTCCCGACCGGCCACAGCGGCACTTCTACACTTGTACAATCTCTCTCCTCTCCCCTCCTATTTCTCTTTCTATCCTCTTCTGTGCTCTGCTCTTCTCTCATTTTTTTTCTGTTCATCTTTGTTCCTCAGCTGGACATCGAGAACCACGTAGACCTGCTGCAGGACTTTGAGGTGCAGGCCGTGCCGGCCGTGCTCGCCTTCTTCAACGGCCAGGTGGTGGAGAAATTCGTCGGCCTCGTCAACGAGCAGATCGTCACCGACTTCGTGGGCAAGGTGATCGGCCGCCTGAACGCCTACACCGACCTCCAGGCGGCGCAGAAGGAGCCGAGAGACTCGTAGCGCCCGCGGTCGGCGGCTGGGGAGAGACTGAGGACCGGGGCGGCCGCCGGAGAGTGAGGGCTGGGCAGGCAGGAGGACCGAGGAGGACAGTGTGGGTTGAGGAGGACGGATGAAGATCGGAAGAGGACGGAGAGGAGTGCAGAGGAGCGGAGGTGTATAGAAGAGAGGAGGACAAGTATCGGAGGAGTGCAGTATATCGGAAGAGGACGACCAGTGCGGTGGTATTCAGTTCAGTGCGGATGGACAGAATCACAGACTGTGCTGGCGGTATTGGGGAGTGACGAGACAGTGTCGTGACCTTTGTGCACGGAGATCGAGAGGAGTGATAATCGACTCTGGAAGACGGACGGGCTGACCAGACGGTAAGCGAGTTCTGAGCGGTGAGGCCAATGGGCTAGATTGGTGGAAATCGCCAGGGGGAAGTCAAACTATCACAAAAAGCCACATCAGGAACGTGAAATAGTGGCGAGAGGCTGATGCATATTGATATGCGTGCTGTTCTTCGGTGTGAATTTTAAGACCCGAGAGGATTAAATGAAGCGGCTCAATTATCGTGTGAGCTAAACTGTTGTGTGTGCTCAACTATCTGCCCGGTTCATGGCACGCTACCTCCGTGCCGTGATTTAAATATCTATAACCACTAATCGCATGGTCTTTCGAAGGGGTTCATGTGGTTTTGAAGTAAAAATCCTATATGCAACAAGCCAGGAAAACGTGTTTTTTTTTATTACCCCGCCCCATCATGTAACCTTACTTGCCAAGCGCTTCATCCGTTTTCGAGTGTGGTGTAAGATCAGGTTCGGTTTTTGCAAAGCCCAGGCGTGGGCAAATTACGTAGCGGCACTTGCCAGTAATTTTCAACAGGTCGTGTCACGGTTGAATGTTGATACGCAAACCCTGATAGGCTGATAGTCCTGCAGCCAGCCGTGCGACTGCCCAACCTTTCCGGGCGTGTCAGTCTGGAGCTGAGCCTATAGTGACCTGGCCCACGGGGTGACGGGCAGGGCAGTGTCTGAACTGACCGGGCAGGTACAAATAGGGTCCCCGGTCACATATGACCGACGACGGGCCATCAGTGGCGGGATTCTCTCCCCTCGGCGGTGGAGGAGCTCGTGTGTGTATAACTCAAACCCAAGAAACAGAAGAGTGTATAAAATGCTGTGTATTTGGTCCAATACATTGTGTGCGTGTGTAATGGTCTAATTCTTAAGTTCTCAGTGTGAACGCTAGAACATTTGAAGCCGCTGGCTATCGCTAAGCGACTGCAGGCTCTTCAAACTTCGTCTCGTCGAATCACATTCGCCTCTAAACTTTAATATCAACATACAGAATAGCAGGTCAAACCTGTTTCATATATTTCATGTAAATAAAAAAGAAGAAATGACTCGATGAAAGCTGGCGAGACCAAGCAATAAATACTATACCAACTAAAGAGCGCCCATGACATGACCCGCTCACCGAGTGAAAGACTCCAAATGGAAACTGGCACCATCTGACACCGAGCGTGGGTCACTGAGACAACCCTGGCCAAGCGCGAGTCAATGAGTCAATGAGACATACTTCCTGAGCGTTCTCTCCACCAAACGGCACCAACAATGTCCCTGGCAGCAGAGCATATTGCACAAACGAGAACTTGTCGCCAAAAACGTACACACATCGACTTAAGTACGCATTAAGCAGACCAGAATTCAAACAGTTGGAACATCTAATGCCTACCACCGTGATCACTCTCGACTCTACACAGCTCTTGCTTCAATGGCACCTTTATATCGGTGGACAAACTCCAAACAATTAACGAGTTCCACCATCACCCAACATTACAGTACCGTTCCTAAAAACAGCTCAAGGCAGGGAAACCCGCTCAGCAAGACCACGGTCCATTCGATAAGCTCACTGTGACTGCAATGATGACTAGGGTCACTGGGTCACTGGACGTGGTGGGAGACTGGCAGTCAATCCGACGGAATCCCTTGGTGCTTTCGGCCATGGTCCCTAGCGATCGCCCTGTCCTGGCCACTACTTCCAGTTCCAATTAAAATTGGGTGGATGTTCAAGAGATCATGCTGGCTACCTCTTAGAGCTGTGCGTAAAGCGTGCTACCAGCTAGCCACCGAAGCCTCACAACCATCCAAAGTCGGCGGCATCTACGGCGGCTCGATGCCGTGCAGCCTCAGCACCTCCCGGAGTTTCTCGACCTCTCGGTCTCTCTCGGCCAGCTGGCGGCGCAGCTGGTTGCAGGTGTTGCGCAGCAGCCGCTCGGTGACAGCCGCCTCGTGTCGGCAGCTGTCCAGCTGCTGCGCCAGCTGTCGGCCGCGGGCGGCCCGCGCCTCCAGCAGCCGGCCCTGGTGGGCGGCGGCGGCCTCCAGCTGCAGCAGCCGGTCGGCGGCGCTGCTGAACAGCGGAGAGGTGAGCAGGTGTGCCGCGCACGGCCGGCGGGAGCGCTCGTCGTCTGTCAGCGCCAGCACGGCGTCCGCCACGGCCGGCCAGCGCGCCGTCACGTCCTCAGCGCAGCGGCGCTCGTGGCGCAGCCGGCGCAGTTCGCCGCTGCGCTCCATGGCCGTGGTGAACGGCGCAAACAGCTCGTACAGCACCACCCCCAGACTGTAGAGGTCGGTCGACTGGTCGTAATCTCCACTAGCAGCCTGCTCGGGGGAAGCGTACGTGGCCGTACCCACACCGCAGGTCTGTTCACCAGGTCGGGGACTGCCTCCACCACAGCTCTCAGCGCAGTCCCCAGCGGCCGCACGGACCCGCGCCAGACCGAAATCACCGATCATCGCGCGCCCAGAGAAGGCCAGGAAGATGTTGGCCGGTTTTAGGTCGCGGTGGATGATGCCGCGCTGGTGAATGAAGTGAAGTCCCAGCAGGACGTCCCTGAGCAGCCGTCGGCACCCCTCCGCATCCACACGGCTCAGCCGGTCCCCCGCGGCTGCAGACGCCGGCGGCGGGGCCAGGTTGCGATCATGCAGCCAGTCCTTTAGTGTCCGCTCGCACGGCTGCATCTGGATGTAGAGCGTCAGCCATCCGGCGGTGGCGGCTGGAGCGGAGAGGCTGCGCTGGTACCGGGGCACGCAGCACTGCGCCACGGCGCACGCCGAGGCTGCCGACAGCGACCGGGTGGCCTGCGCGTGCCGAGCGGCCGCCGACGAGACGCTCGTCGAGCCGGAGCTGCTGCCGGACCCCGCCCAGAAGCGGCCGCCGCCGCCGCGCGCGGTGCCGGTCCCTCGGGCACCGAAGGTTCCTGCAGGCAGCACTGCGGGCGCAGAGCTTCCCGACGAGCCGTTCTGTGACAAAGGCGCCGCTGAGGCGTCCGTTCGGGACGCTGTCGGGTCCTTGGAGCTCTGCGGATCGGCCCCCGCCCGTCGGGACTCGGAACTGTCCGGGGTTCGCGCGGACGCCGCCGCGACTCTGTTGAACACAACACCCGATGAGCTGTCATGACTCGACGTGCCGTTTGAGTTCTGAGCCGACTCCAGTCCGGCACTCAACACCTCAGCAGTGTGGTTTTTAGTGTTCGAGTCGCGCTCCCACGTCACCTCAGAGCCCACGGAGCTATCGGTGGCCGGTAGACGCTCCCGCTCTGGCAGCGCGCTCACTGACCCCAGCGACCCGGCGCCGGTGGTCGTCTCTCCCTCAGCCAGCTCGGTCCAGGCGTCTGACCCGCCGGCTCCCTGCCGACCGGTCGGCCGCGGCCCGCCCGCCTCCAGCCAGGCCGTGTTGTACTTGACAATGTTGGGATGGTCGAGCGAGGCGAGCACGGTCACCTCGCGCAGCGTCCGCTCGGCGGCGGCCGCCGACCGGCACCGGAACGGGATCCTCTTGACGGCGTACTCCTGTCTGTCCACCAGACTGCGGCACCGGCTGACGACGGCGAACCCGCCGCTGCCCAGCAGCGAGAGCTCCTCGAACTCGGTCCGGTAGCGGGACGGGTGCAGCAGCGGCGCGGACGGCTCCGAGGGAGCCGGGCCGAGCAGCGGCGCGTCCGTCAGAGGGCCCGGCAGGGAGGCGCGGTGAGCCGCCACCAGCAGGTCAGCGAACATCTGCGGCAACACAGAACCGGGGGCGCTGATACTGCGGAGCGCTGCGAGATTCAAAAGGAAACGAGTTACAAAATATCGTACTTCCATTGAAAACAAAAAATACCGGCAACTCGAATCCTAAGTGTTCGAAGAACTACTTGAGCACTATGAAGCAAGTACCCAAAGCTGCAATAAACTCGAAAAACTCTTAAAGACAGATTCATTATGGGTCATTATACACAAAACAGCAGACCCATCACCATTCGAACGACTCACGAGACGTTGCGGCAGCGGGTGATGGTCCGTGAGGTGCTCTCACCTTCTGTGCGTGAGGAGCTCTCACAACAGTTCATGAGACATCCTCACCCTCTGTAAGGCACTCTCACCCTCTGTGTGTGAGCCACTCTCACCTTCTGGTACATGTGCCTCAGCGGGTCCAGCTGGTCGCTGTGCGGCGGCAGCAGGCGCATGCTGACCAGCTGTCGGTGTACCAGTGTGTACATGGATCGCCAGTCAGTTCCGCGCTGCGAGCGACACGCCAGCTCCACCAGCGCCTGCCGAACGGAGGACGGTGAGACACAAACGACACGTGAGCGAGACGGCCGCGCAGCGGTCACGGATGCAGATTGCGAGGGGAGTGAATACCAAAGTGTAACAACAAGTACAACACATTAAGCACAGTCATACAGAATTCCATTCTTTAGTTGAAAATATTGAACAAACATCATACAAGTTTACAACAAAGAACCACATCAGGCCGACGTATCCTGGCTGCGACCCACCAGGCGGCCGGACTGATCTACCTCTAGGGATCTTGAACTGACCTCGATGGTGAGATAGCTGGGCACGGCCGTCTCGATCAGCTGCGCCACGGTGCCCGAGTCGGCGGCGCCCGCCGGGCCGCCGTCCAGTGCGGTGACGGGAGCCGGCAGCGGCGGCAGGGCGCCGAGGGTGCGCGGCCGGCGGCGGCCCCGGCCGGCCACCGGCACCGACCCAGCGCTCCGGCACGGCGTGGGCATGGTTCAGCTCATCACTGGGGGACGGGACAGACGGCATTCAGAACACTGTGCTGCTGACTGCAGTCAGGTTTAGATTGGTCATGGGTGTATGAATGAGTCTGCAGTGGAATCAGAGAAAAAGTATGCATGACATGATGCGCATGAAAATATATATGGTTTCCTGACAGAAGAACCAGTAAGAACTGAATAACTGAACCAGTGGCAACTGAACCAGTTGATAACTGAACCAGTTGATAACTGAACCAGTTGATAACTGAACCAGTTGATAACTGAACCAGTTGATAACTGAACTAGTTGACAACCTGAGTGAGTGACTAGTGAACCAGTGGACAACTAAAACAAAGGCAGCTGAATAAGTAGAAAACTGATCCAGTGGACAACTGAACCAGTTGAGAACTTAACCAGTGGATAACTGACCACTGTGGACAGCTTAACCAGTGGACAGCTGAACCAATGGATTACTGAAACAGTAGATGATTGAGCCAGTGGATGACTGGGCCAGTGACAACTGAACCAGTGGATTACTGAACCAATTGATAACTGAACAAATAAACAACTGAACCAGTGGACAACAAAACCAGTGTGTTGGACAAATAACCTGTAACAACTGAACCAGTCACAACAGCTGCACTGGTTGGTAAATCACAAGTTACTATACCAGTTGAAAACTGAGATGCTTTTATTTTGATCAGCCAAAAGTGATGTCCTTATATCAGCCTTATGTGCCAGCTGATTCTTGGATGTCAACTTTTAGTTAGCATAACAAGCAAATGCAACTTCCTCTTAAGAAGCATTGCAGCCCCTAACCCTATTGGTAAGTCATTCTGCCTGTGTTTGACATCAAGAAATCTGCTGACACTGGATAGAGATATCAAGAGAGACAATTTTTTTGATCATGTATAAAGTGTCCCCATTTTAAACCTGATCAGCTGTCTCATCACCAGTTCATTTTTCCACTGGTTCAGCAGTTACTGGTCCAATTCTAGACCATGTCCAGTCTGGCTCAGCACTGGTTCAGATGTTACTGGTCCAGTTCTATCAAGACTATATCCAGCTGTCCACTGGTTCAGCTGTCCATTGGTTCAGTTGTCCACTGGTTCAGATATCCACTGGGGCACTGGTTCAGTTGCCCACTGGGTCAGTTGTCCACTGGTTCAGTTATCCACTGGTCAGTTGTTTACTGGTTCAGCTATCCACTAGTCATCCACTCACTATCCACTGGTTCAGTTATCCACTGGTTCAGTTATCCATTGATCAGTTGTTTACTGGTTCAGCTATCCACTAGGTAGTAGGTTCAGTTGTTCATTTGCATTGGTCCAGTAATTCACTGGTTCAGTTCAAGTTGTGGTTCAGTTGTTCACTGGCTCAGTTGTGCACTGGTGCATTTATTCACTGATGACAATAACAAAGGTGTAGGGGTTAGTCACAAGTCAGATTACAGCACCAACTATCCCAATCCTAGATATTGAACGTAATGCTGAATCTGACAGAAAAAAAACTAAAATGACCTAAGATTGAGATAGCTTAATTTCTTGGATGAATTTGAATCTGAATTTGGCATTTCATTTTTACAATGGGCCAATGTGAGGGTCACAAGTAGTCTATATAAATAACTAATAACGCTAGCTTGATCAAGATAAAGATAAAGATCAAATCTGACTGACTCACCTCAATAATGACCATAATGAAGACCACAGCCAAGGTGTAAGGGGCTAGTCAGGTAGGTACATCAAAAATGTAACACTAACTTGGAAAACCATAGGCTTGTGTGACACCCCCAAAATAACTGCAGGAATGTTAAAAACAATTGAAATGGGTACTCAAACCAAACAGCACATGGAACACTAGGGACTTCTTGCTTCCTTTACCGTCGGAAAGGAAGTTTTTGGTTACGGTAAGATATTTTTACACTAGGGCTACCAAATTATTTTAAAATAGCTGCCAGATGAATCTGTCTCCACAAATGTGCGCCACTTTTGCCGGCGCATACTAAACACTATACGGCGTAGGACTTTCAAGGTTGTAGAGAAACGGAAGGTAGTAATAGGTAAGACAAGACCTTGATAATAAGTATAATTTTTCAAATTTGTGATCTGGGATGTTTATAATGGTTGAAGGTCAAAATACACAGCCATTATCAAAAGTATTTTTGGTTAGAGCAGGCCATAATTGCAATCCATTCCTGCCTATGAAACTACCGCCAGCGGCAGTCAGTTCGTGTTTGGTTCATTTTGATATCAATATTGCTGTATATCGTAATTGCTTTACTCAATGCAAAAAATGAAATATTTGTACCAAGAACAAGAAGGACCATGCACATGGAGCATTTTTAACAGGCTTCTTATTGTGCATAAAAGGCATGTTCATTGTTCATTCATGTTACCTATATAATGATTGCAACTACATTTCCAAACTTTCTATGATGCCGAAACCTTTTTTCCTATCTTATACTTAGAAGTTCCATCCCTGTTTTGTGTTAATACTTTTGCACTCACAACTTTTGAAAATTTGACTTCTTCTTCTTCTTCTTCTTCTCAGTCGTCGGTTCCACCCATCGGGTGCACCATCAGGTTGTCCTCCCTGATGACCCTCTGCTGTCCCTTATCTCAGCCTTTACGTTAGGTACTGTGCAAGACGCTAGTGGTGGCACCGGGCAAGGAGAGACTGGGAGGATGAGGACAGGATTCTTTTCTTGTCCTGCTCGTTTCAACTGCTGTCGACATGCAGACTGCAGTTCCTTTTGTATCCTTGTCTTGTATAGGTAATTGATCAACAAGGCCTCTTCTGAGTCAGCATTGCGGACAGTCAGCTTCGCAGGTAGAGTCCTATTTAACCTCGCATTCCACCTCCTCTGTCCTTCCTCACGTTCTTGCCGCAGTTCCACACACTCATAAAGAAAGTGTTCAAGAGTTTCTGTTGCTTTCATGCATAATGGACAGATCTCATTTCGCTCAGCGTGCCTTCTTAAGACTCCTGTGGCAAGAAGCGACTGCTCCGTTAGAAGTCGTATCCTCGTGCCTGTCGCTTGTCTGCCAATAACACTTAGTCTGTTTTTCGGCCAGAATTGATTCGCTGGCTCGTATTCTTCCATATTTTGTGCAATATCGGCGATCCACTGTATAGTTTGTCTCTTGCTAGCTTCTTCTATAATCATTGCTTTAGTATACGCGTTGATGGCTTGTTTGCAAACTTTATACCAGCTCTTACCCTGTACTCCATTTGTTGTCATCATTTGTATTATGCCTGGTAGCTTCAATGCGGTAAAGTAATGTTCCCATTGCCTTAGTATGCTCGAGCTCCTGTCCTTGTTGAGAGCACCGTGCAGTATCATGTATTCCGTCAGTGCATGCTCCCGCGCTGCTTTAGCGAGAAACTGAATGAATTGCATAGCTGCTTTCATTATCATCACCTTAGGGGGTAACGCTCCAAGCATCATGTACACAGCTAAGTTCTGGGTTCTTCTGGGTAATCCTTGCATAGCCCTCAGAAGTCTTACCACCATCACCTCCAGGTAGTTAATTTCTTGATTTGTGAAAATCGTCACTGGCATGGAGTACAGGAGTATCGGTTCAGCATATATTTTCCATGTGGTGTAAAGAGACAGTGGGCTTGTACGGGCAACGTCAAGGCCTTCTGGGCACCTTGCAAACATCGCTCTTCTCGCCCTTTTCATACCCTCTTCGATTCTCTTTCTTCCTTCAGCCTTGTTGGTCATATGGACGCCCAGATGGGTATATTCTGTGGTTACTTCAATGTGCTCTTTTCCTAGTAACCATCTTCTGCCATCTACGCATTTCCCATATACCATGATTTTGCTCTTACTTGCATTGTACTGATATCTCCATTTCGTGCTATGACTGTATGCAACATCGAGCATTAACTGCATCTCTGTCGGATCTGTACTAATGAGAACTTCATCATCTGCATATGCAATGATAGGTACTTGTATATCTCCAACTCTTGCTCCAACACGTGCTTGCTGCAGAGTTTGTATCTTATCGTGCATGTAGAGACAGAGCAGGCTAGTGGACAACACTCCACCCTGCTTTAGTCCTTGTTGCATGTTTCCCATCCCAGACTTTTCATTTGCAACCTTCACTCTGACTCTGAACTCTTTGTAAAGATTGTAGAGTATCAATACCAGTCTTGGGTGAACATTGCTGGTGATTAGCTTATAGATGAGACCATCGTGCCAAATCGAATTGAAACATTTCCGCACATCCAAGTAGGCGACATATACTGTCTTGCCTATATCTCTATTTGCAGATATTACTTCTCTAAGGATGAAGTTTGCCTGCAAAGTACTCCTGTCACTTTGGTACGCGAATTGTAAATCAGACGGTATTCCGGCTTCTTTGAGCTCCTCACCTAGTCTGTGAATTATAGCCTTTTCGAATATTTTGCAGGCAGTAGTCAGGACAGATATATCCCTGTAGCTGTCTGTTTGCTCAGTGTTACCTCCGTGTCCTTTGTAGATTGGAGTGACTAGTCCACATTTGAAGTTCTCTGGAATCTCTGTTGTTTTCATTATATCCTGGAGACAGGTTCCTATATCTTGAATAAGAGCGTCTCCTGCCTCTATGAGATGCTCGGCCATAATATTATCTGTTCCTGGTGCTTTCCTTCTCTTCAGTCTTCGAATAATGTTGGATATTTCTGCTTCTGTTATTGGCTTACAGTCTTCTAAGTCTCGTCCTTTTTCCTGGTATTTGTTACATGTTAAGTTGACCACTGCCGTGACATGTTCCTTCCATTTCCTGTCGAAACACGGGTCTTCTATTGGCATGGCTGTTCTAACAAAATGGTGGAGGAACGCCTCAGCAATCTCCAGGGGCTGGTAGATTTCTTTTCCTTCAATTTTCAGTCGTTGTACTTTGCTTCTTCGTACGCATTTTTGTATTCTTTGATAGTACTTGTTTGATAGTTTTTGGCATTCTATCTCTTTTTTAGCATCATCTTCCTTTCGGGCACGTAGCCTGTACATTCTTTGCGCATTGATATACTGCCGCTTTTTACTTCTGTATGTCGCTTTCGCAATATCTTTTTCTTCCGCCGGACATTCTTTCCATTTGTCTTTAGCTGCTAAGCATTCTCGTCTCATTTCCGTGAGAGCGCTGTTCCACCACTTACTTGCCTTGTTCCTTCTTCCCTTCTTTGGAAGCATTCTCGCTGCTTCTATAATGGTCTTGTTGATACTGTCTATGTCCACTCGCGTCTGTCTATGTTTCCATAGGTAACGCCGATAGGCTTCAATGCTGCCATTCCTTCGTGCCTTCTCCCAGTCAATTTTTTGCTCCTCTGTTTTTTGCTGTTTACATCTCCTTTTCATTTCAACACAGACACATATCGGCTCATGGTCTGACGTGTTGAGAGCGCTTCTTTCTGGAATCTTATACTCTGTTACATACATTGAGTGACCTCTGTCAACCATAAAATAGTCTAGCAGTGATGTTGCTTCAACTTCATTCTTGTAAAATGTGTTATGGCCCTCTATGTTGTTGCAGGGAATCATTAATCCATAGTCAGCTAGCATCGCTTCGACATACTTCTTGTTTGGATGCACGTTTTTAGTCAGGTCCACATTGAGATCACCTCCAACAATGATCATCTTCTCTTCACCATACTCCTCAATTATGCCTGTCACCTTATCTATTGTCTCTTGAAACTCAATGGTTGTCTTCTGAAGTGTGCCAGTCGGCAAATATACAGCAATGACTAGGATGTCAATCTCCATGCCCTTTACAATTGCCGCCTGAATCCTAGTGCTGCCACGGTGGTCCACTTCAATCATGCCTAGCTCCTTTCTCGTCATAATCGCTACACCCCCGTGCCCACGACCACTTTTGTTCTGTAAGACGGCATAGTCTATATATTCATCATAGCTTACTGCAATCACATCATGTGTTTCGGTCAGTAGGGTTTGACTTTGATTTGCCTTTGAAGTCCATGTTTCATTGAGCAACAGAATATCTGCTTCATCTAATATGCTTTGCATAAACTCACTCTTCTGGTATCCTCTACAGTTATACTGAACGAGTTTTAATTTCTCCCAGTGTCTCCTTCTCTTGTTAGTGCCATAAGACCCTGCGCTCTTCCAGCAGGGCTTCGGCATAGCTTTTCCCTCTCCAACCTGGGCACTGATCTGGGTTTCCACTCGCCCCTTGCCGGTGAAAATTCCCATGCTCTCTCCGGACCCGTCGACTTTCCGGATAGTTCCAGCTCTGCTCTTCTCGACTGTACCACTTTTCTTGTTGGTACTGCCTCCTCTGCTGCTGATTTCCGGATGCACCACCCTCTTCATTCCATTCCTCAGTGGTCCCATAGTTACGTTCGTCTTCCATATAGTCCCTGGAACATTCTTGGTTTTCATTCCCAGTCCCTCGCTCATGTGATTGATTGCACCCCTTGTTGCCATTCCAGTTCATCTGTCTTTGTCCTCTCAGCTGCCAGTCTTGGGGTTCATGATGCTCATGTCTGCCCCACTTTCTCTGACCTGGGTGTCCATCGAAGCGCCTACCGTAATAGGGTGGTTCTACTTGGACGCGGTTTCCGTTTCTTTTGTCATGTCCGTCTGCATTAAGGTCCTGCTTTCCAAACGCTCTGGCTCCCTTACCTTCTTCGCGTTGTTCTTGTTTATACACTCCTTCCCTGTACCTGCCTGTCCTGTAGTAGTTTTTTCTACTATTTCCATTCAACCTGCGCATGTTGTCTTCTCCTGTAAAGTGATGCACAGGCTCCCATTCCCTTTCTTCGTACTCCCTGTATTCGTCCCTATTTCTATACCGCTGATTGACGAACACTCTAGTTCTATAGTATCGTGGGTGTCTTCCACCTTGTCCTCTTTCATGCCCTGTAGCACCATTGTTTCTTCC